AACTTATTGTTGTCAAAAACATTTATAATTCTCAAAATAACAATAGTGAAAGCATTCCAACAATTGTATTGAAAAATTTAAAATCTTTTATGCATTTCCCGAATAGTGGTTAACGTATAGCATCGCGTGTGATCCTTGTTTGTCTAAATGGAAACCAATGATGGGGAAGGGAAAAAGACGGGAAGCAATGAAAATGGAATATTTGTGTGACGTGGTAAAGTGTATTTATTAAAAGGTTAGTCTGTCTCGATTGCTATTATAATGCTTAAACATTTACAAATATTTAGCCTGAGTAAAAGATCGGTTGGCAATTGTTAAGAAACAAGCGCAATCGTTATATAAAATACAACTTGATGTAAGTATTATTAAATTTTTCAATGTTTAGCAATCATAAACATAAACCGCTTTTATATAGTTAACACATAAACAGATTAATTTTAGAATTAATGAGCGTTTACCTTTTTTATATTTTAATCGTTAAAGTGTTTTTAATAAGTAACGTAATTATGTATTTTATGTTAGTCAATATAACATATGAATTTTAATTGTAAATTACAAATGAAATTTATTCAGTGTTTATTATATATTATTTGAGTTTGAAATGTATCAATTTTAATTAATTTAATATATTGTATTTGTCAATATCCCATATTGCAAAGATTTAAAATAAAATTCTACATTATTTGAAAAAAAAACCAAACGGCATTAAGTACCCAATGTATTTCCTATGGATAATAAGAAGTAGTCATAACTCAATAAGTACTGGACAAATTTTTACAATTTAGATATTAAATTGTTTAAAATAAAATTTTATTTGAAGCCTTTATCAAAATGTTTCTTATAAATGTAAAAAATCAGACTATACTCATATTAAAGGTGCAATATTTTAAGCCATGCTATTTAAAAACTACTGATTCAATTTTAATTATTAATACACCAAATGAATCATAATTGAAAATAAAAAATATAAATTTTTAGTTTATAAAAATTCCAATCGTAAACGATATTTAAAATTTATTTTCTAATTTTATATGCAAAAATAAAGCTTACAATAAAAATTTTAAAATATTATATAATATAATTATTCTTAATTTGAACTAATTTGATGTACTGATAATTAAAATTAAATCAGTAGTTTTTAAATAGCAAAGCTTTAAATTATTGTTATTTTATCTTTTTAATATGAATATAGCCCTACAGAGTAAATTTGTGATATCTGTTAATATCTAGCATTGAACCACTGCTTTGAAATTCATGTACTACTAATATATTATTCATATATAATGTACTTTAATGTAATAATAGGGTAAATATTAAATAAAACTACAAACTAGGATTAATGAGCAGGTGATTAATGTAAAATAATTGTCATAGAATTATTTTAACACGTCTACATGTATATTATAATTTTTATATTTGATATCTACATGTATATATTTTAATATTAACCTTTTAATTTTTAACCCCAATTCAGTATGAATAATGTGGTTAATAAGTTTGTTGGTCCCATTTTCCCCAACTCCCCACTCTATGGGATTTGACATGGGATTACAGCTTAAATCTATGGATATTCTTTAACATTAGATTCTAGAGTCTATTGGGAATTAACATAGGATTACAGCATAAGTCTATAGCTATATTTTAACATTGGTATCTCTATATCAATGGCATAGGGATAACATGGTTAATGCTAAGTCTATCACATAGAGATAACATGAATAATGGTAAGTCTATGGACAATAATAAGTCATGTTAATGTAATAGTATATCAATGTGACAATGAGATTATTAATGAATCTGCCATAATGTCCAAATGTGGTTAAGCGATAGCTTTGCATTTAATCTATGTTATCTAAACATAAAAATATCTAAAGTATATATAAATGTAATTCAGATGTTCTAATGGCAACGCAAACACTAATTAACGAATACCGACAATTGACGTCACATCCGACAGCTTACGGATCAGTGGCGCGCACTGATAACATTCTTGTGTGGACGTTGTATATGTACGGACCGGAACGCTCGCAATATGAGGGCGGAACGTTTTTGGTGGAGTTAGCATTTCCTAACACATACCCTAATCGTCCACCACAAGTTACATTTAAAACAAAAATTTTTCACGCAAACATTCGATCGGATGGCTACGTATGCACCTCATTACTAAGTGCTTGGCGTTCAACCGACTCAGTGAAGACAATTATGTTGGCATTAAATAATATGATGTCTCAACCCAACCGTGATAGCCCTTACACCGGGCAGGGCCTTACTGACCAAGAGTACAACGAAAAGGCCCGCGAATATACACAACAATATGCTATGAAAAGTTAATGTTTTAAGGTTTTCGCAAAATATTTAAATAAACAATTCTTATTAAATTTCAAATAATTTCTTATTAATTAATTAATAATTTTGATAAAACATTTTGCAGACATATCCTGTAACTCCAATATATCCATATTAGAGCGTCTACATGTTCTAGGTATAAAACTTGTAAATGTGAAAAGGCTTAACGATCTTATGAACCATAATGAAAATTTTATAAATTCGAATGTTAATTTTTTACAACAATTATTTTTAACCACAATTCAGTATGAATAATGTGGTTTATAGGATTGTTCGCCCCCTCCCCTTCCTT